TTTTCGCAGAAATTGTTCTACAGCTCAGGCTGTTCTTAGCGTGGTCACTAATGTAGTCAAGGGTCTTGAGCAAGGTAATCTCACAGCAATTAAGCTCTGTGACCTTTCAAAGGCCTTTGACTGCATTTCTCATGAAATACTATAAGAAAAACTAAGCTATTATGGAGTGAGGGAAGTTGCACTTTCCTTTATGAAACCATACCTGTTAAGTAGATATCAAGCCGTTAGTGTAAACAACAAAGTTTCAAAATTTGAACATGTGAAGTATGGCGTTCCGCAGGGGTCAGTACTGGGACCCCTGCTATTTATAATTCATGTTAATGACGTCAGTAAATTCATGCAACCATTTAGGGCTTTTCTTCCAGTTCGTTTCTTAAAGTAACTTCTATGCATGAACTACACATCCTTGTGAAGAGATTATTTTGATCCCAATTGTTTCCTTCACTCCTTCAGAGGTTTTCCATATTGTATAAAAATGCTGGAATAGAAAATCAAAAACCTTTTTCTCAGAAACTCTCTTCTAAAAATATATTCCATCCCAATTGAAATTGTCAATTAGTAGTTCATTCAGTTATTTGAAGACATACCATTTTCACATGATGTATCGAGAATGTTGAAAAGTATTATCATTATCATTATTTCATAAAATAGTCGTCAAAAAAGCTTCAACCAAACAAAATTTCTCTTTCCCACTGTTCCACATCCAATACTCCACCAGCATAATAAAGCAACAATTATCCAATGCCACAATCCGAATCATATCTCTTGACTCATTCATCAGGCAATTAAAAAATCGAATCAACCCCTCGGAGCGTGGGGTGCGTGCCGCGGCCCGTATATAAGGGTTTTAATAACCAAATCGTGACCCCCATCTTTTCCGATGATTTCTGGCGATACCCACATGCCTTCAATCAATGTTTTGTTTGTTGCGTGAGTACCATTACGGCAATTGATAGTGATGAGAGTCAATTTGAATTTTTCGTTAGGGGTGGATGGACGCAACAGGGCGCTGTGCGGGTGGGTCTGGTTTATGGCAAAGACAAAATTGATAATAATAATAATAATAACTTTATTCACAACGTATACAGATTAGAGTACAATTAAAACAAAATATGTGAATAAAATGGTTTGGCGATAAGAGCAGAACTCTTGTTTCGCAAGAAATTATAATGTTTTAGAGAAAAATTAAAATTCACCTCATATTTTGAACATACCCCGTATCTGTAAAATATTAGGATCCATAGTGCCATAGTGGGATGAAATGGAATAATTCAGTGAAGCTTTACACCAGAAAGTATCGAATATCGATAAAAATTGGATTAATTTTTTCTCAATAACAGTGGCGCCGGTGTAATTTCCAGTAAATTAGTCTCGAATAACTCGAAATATCATAACAAACTTATGCATACAGTGTTGATTGTATTTTGCTCATTTCACAAGTTTCTATAAACTGGATACGAAAAATTTTGATACGAAAAAATCGCAGATGTGCACCTTTCACAAATGTTTTGAAGAAACACCGACATTTTTTGGAGGTGCACAATTCTAAGAACCTCTGAAAAAATACTTCTGTGTTCGATGGTGATCCACTATTTCTCAAAGTGCACTTTCCACTTGATTTTGTCACATGTATGTAGAGGTTTAATTTGATAGCAGAAATCGAAAACGTTATTTACAGTTGGTTCATACAGTATTTTCTTTATCCTACATTCAATATGAATTTCTACAGAGTAAATAGTTCATCGATCGAACAAGTAACTTTCGTGATCGATGTTGATCCACTGTTTGTCAAAGTGTACTATTCACTTGATTTTGTCATATGTATGTAGAGGTTGAATTTGATAGCGACTCAACATAGTTTACATTTGGTTCATACAGTACCATGGTGAACTGTATAGTAATGATCAAATTATTACAATTCGAGTTGACGAGACAAAATCATTTTGTTTTATTTTCATTTTTACATTACACATACCACCGTTAAGTATTCCTGAATGTCTTTACAAAATGTTTATCGCTGAAATGGCCGATGAAATTTAAATTAGAAAAGAGAAATTTTGGATCCATTATGGAATAATTTATAAACAATTGTCAAATGAGTATCCTATAATGACTTATAGGTATAAATAACAAGGTGGAGAATCAACAGTCATCAGTTCGCCAAAATGTGTCGTCCAAGTTCTCTGATTTTCATCGCGCTGTGTGTATTCTCGGTCAACTCCAAACCTTTGGAAACTCAGGATGGACCTGTAACACCGTCCGCACCAGCATCAGCTGTTCTGAATGATCCGGACGTCATGGCATCATTTCTGGAGTTTTTGCAGCAGCACCTTAACGGACTAGAAGTAAGTAACTTTGTTCATCCGTTTAATGTTACATTTCATTCACCAGGGCTGTAGTGAAAATAAGTCATTTTTGTTAATAATGAACTTATTTCAATCAATGCTACGTTGATTGTTGTTGAACACCTTTCTTTTTCTTTCAATTGAAAAGTACTTGAAACCTAACTTCATTTTCTTTCTTCTTATTGGTATATTCAAGAACTCACTTCCAAATGTTTCAATGTATTGAAACATGTAAACAGCAAAATTGCTAGAAACAACATTGCGACCATTTACATTGTGAAATTGAAACTCCTATAGAAAACAAAAATAAATCAAATGCTATTCACAAAATTCCTTGTCAAAATTATGAGAAGTCATATATTGGTCAGACATCTAGAACATTGAATAGTCGCATTATCTGTCATAAGAGTGATTGTTGGGGAAAAGTTAAAATCGTGTGTCATGGCAGAGCATGTTATTCAGTATGATCATAATATCGATAATAATAATACTAAAATTTTACATACTGCAGAGAATCCTTCGGAAAGATCATTTTTAGAAATGGCTGAGATAAGTAAAAGAGAACAAGCGATGAATAAAATATCAGGCCTTAACAGTATTCGTGAAATTTATACATTCATTTCGGAAAATCAAAAAATTTCATCTATTCAAAATTTTCATTGTATTTATGTTATTTTTGTTTTCATATACTCGTGAATCCATGTTGTCATGGATTTCTGTTGTTCTTGTAAAATTATGAAGAAGTGGAGAATTTCTTGAACACTTGTTGAATATTTTTTGAACAACCAATTACCTGATTTTGAAATTCAATTTAGTAAATTTTGTTATTAAGAATTATGAACCAAGCGTAAGATCGCCATAATATTTCATCACCCAGAATTTTTTTAGAGACTAATCTAATGAATAATCAGTTGACAAACCAAGATAATTGAAATTGAAGAAGTAGTATGTTTGAAAGAATAAAAATACATTGAACAATCTACCAGTAACATTAAAATCTTTCAGACTACCTCAAAGGTTCCACCTGAGATTCAACCAGTTACTACGCCTGTCGTCATATCTGAACCTCAACCAACTCCACCTGTCATTACGTTGCCTGTACAATTGTTGCCTGTAAACCCCGCTGAAACTCGAGTGAATTCGTCGATCCAGCAATGGGGCAATGTCAGGATTGTCACTCCTACAAGGATTAATGTTGTACCTATCCCAGACCCACTCACTTCGGAGCAACAGAGACAACAAGCCCTAAATGCAAAGTATCAATTTTCTACATACATGGACGACAATATCAAAGGTTCTTTCCTATCCAGAGCTGAAGTAAGAAGTGGACTCAAAGTTAAGGGACAGTACGAATATGACGATGGATTTGTTCACCGAACAGTTTACTATGAAGCTGATGAAAATGGATACAGGATTGTTAGGTAAGCATATAAGTCTATCAGAAAGAAATCACTGTGATATGCACCATGGTAGAACTTCAAAAGTGAAATCAATACATATTATTCTGAATCATTTTCAAATAAATCAATTCAGATATACAGGAAACAGAACAGATCATTTCAAACATACACGGAAAACAAAATGATTAATTTCATAAATTACCTTGTTTTTTTTTCAGAGAGGAAACGAAACCCTCTATTAAAACCACCCCTCTTGATGGAACAGCAAAAGTACAGATCCATTTGGATGGTACCCAAGTGGACTATAATATTGCAAGAAAGGACGTTACCTCACCAACAAAAGTTATTGTGTGAAAGGTAAAAATTGAGGGATTTTGACAAAATCAGGCACAATAAAAAAATACAAAAAAATACTCATGTGTATTATAATTTCTGTTTCACCTTTTCAACAGATATTCCATTTTACCCATAACATAAAACGATATTGGTATATTAAGCAACAGTGACGAAGGTCTCAAAATTTTTTACAAGCAGTAATATCAAAACATTTGATGTTGCTAGGTTTGGAAATGAACCAGAACATTCTGAAAGATACTTCTAAAACATTTGAACTAGATTTTTATCACTAACTGAAAGTTCATTCCAAAGAAATACACTTTTCCCACACCAGAAAAAGACAGTACTATACAGTGCATTTCTTTACTGCCCTCCCCTTTCATTTTTTGACCTAGCCACCTCAAAAAATTGAAATTGGGGATAATGAAATTAATGCATGAATACTTTATTTTGAAGTGAAATTGACCGATGAAACTTTCAAGATGGCGTCTGGACGCCATCTGGGGAAAAAAACTTAATTCGAAAGGGGGGTCTTGTGACACATCGTTTTGAAGCTTCTGACGAATACTTCACAACCCTGGAATATGAGTCAATATCTTCACCTACTACGAAATGGCGAAACATTTAATAATTTCCTGAAAACAAACACATTATTATCGATATTTCTAGACATATTCCTTTTTAACTGCCATATGACAATTCCAACAACCCAATAAGATTTGTAAAGTTATTTTTTGTTAAAAAAAAAGTCAAAAAAATGTCAGTACGACAATGAACATCATTGTCGTATAGTTAGAATATTCTCATTCAGTTTTCGGTTTTATTAGGAGAAAGGTACCACGTCAACAATCTCTGAAATGGTCAATGGTCAAGAAAATATTGAAGCGATTTTTATTTATGGTGCGACGCGTAACTTTCACGAGACTGAAAAAATTTTCAATGAAAGTTTTCCGAATCGTCTTATCTGTAGAAAATATTTGAGAAAACTTTATCCAAATTCACAACTACCGGTAGTGTAAATAACAAAAAGCCCCCAGGTCATCTGTCCATTCCGGAAGAACAGCAAGTGCAAATAATTGGTGGGATGGTAGTAAATCCTGAACAGTCTACTTATTCCGTCGCGAATGTTTGTGAGGTGTCCCCTTCTACTGTGCGGAGACTTTTGAAGAGGAATAGGTATATTCCATTCAAAATTAAAATGGTACACCAATTAACTGAAGATGACCCTAATCGAAGAACAGAATTCTGCGAAGTCATGACGGAAACCATTGCAAGGCATCCTACATATCTCCATAATATTTGTTTCGGTGACGAATGTACATTTTTTTAAACGGCAATGTTCACAGACAAAATTGCCGTTATTGGAGTGACACCAACCCTCACGTTTTCCGGGAAACACATACCCATACCCACCATGACGTTTCAATGCAATAATATCACCATCGGAATCAACTAATACGGTTGCAGATGTCCTTCGAAAGCAATGCCCTATATATAAATTCGGATCAGGCAGATTTGAATATGTTGCTATTTGCTTCCCTAAATTATTAATTCCAATATTTTGAATTGTGCATTTTCCACTGAAATAATTGACGAAAAAAGATGGGTTGGGACAAAATTTCGGCCGTTGATTCACGTATTTTTTACTAATTTCGTGGTATATGCCGGTAATTGTAAATACTAATTGTACTTTTGTTTTAGTTTCTGTCACATTAACAATTAAGATTCCATTCATATTTTTGACATTTTTCCATTTTAGGTCATGAACTTCGTGCCACAATTTTCAAAAATGCAATGTTAGGTAGATACTCACTTTTCATCGGGTGCCTCGTTGATAAACGTGTTTATTTGTTCAGATGAAAATATTTTTGATTTTTTTCCAACATATCCTGACTTTCGCTTCAATAAAGCTTGTAGCTTCTTATATTTAGAAATATCTATATTACTGATATTTACCAACGATTTTATTATTGGATAATGTGTCCATTAGCTGTTACCAGTACGGTATAGCCAAGTCCAAGGTTAGGCAACACTTGGTTGCAAAATCAACATGAATGCATGGAGTCATCAACAGAGTTTTGGTCAGGTCACCTCGTGTTACAAGGTCTTGATAAATTTCAGTTTTTTATATCTGGAAAGTTATTTGTGGCGAATCTTCCAAATGGAAGACCTTGCACAGGTATGGTTCAAGTAAACGATATAATTCAACCTACCTTCCAATAGCTCCCCTTCAATAACATAGTTAGTGAGCTAACTAATTTCGTTATTCGTTATTCAATAACCATTTCTGATTATATAAAAATCAAAATAACTAAAATATATATATGAAATCGAGAAAGGTTAATGCAGTCAAGCTTCTGATAATTCCTCTTCCATATTCTCTGTTTCACTATCATTAAAATCACTTTTTCAATCCTTTTCTGTCAGTCTTCTTCGGTAATATTAGATACTTCTTCTTTAATTAGCCCTATTACCTCATATAATTTTGGAAAATCATTTTTATGCCTGATGCTTTGTTTCAATTTTCCTGAAATCAACTCGATAGGATTGAAAACACAAAAATATGGGGGAAGTCTCAGTATAGGCAATACTCTAAAGGGCATACTTTTTTTCAAATTTTTTTGTCNATACTTCATTCGCAAGCTAATTTGACATAAGATTGGTGACAATGCATTATGGAGTTTTTCTAGGGGAAAACCAAGATGGCGGCTTCACAATGGCGGACAAGATTTGCAATTATGCTCCGATTTGATTCAAAATTAATAAGTGGTAGTTTTCAGGGTCGGAAATTATGAATTGTTTTTCAATGCACAACATCAAAATGGTGGCTCCAAAGTGGCGGACGAAATTTATAATTATAGTACGATTTAACCCGACACCGTAAACGAATTCTTCAAAACACATGTGTTGTGAACATAATGCAAAAAAACGTCAATTTAAAATCCAAGGGGGACAAATCCTATTGTTACCTCAACTGTCATACTTCTCTTTCCACCCCTTGTTCACCCATACAATTTGTTTAGGGAAAGTAATACGTGTGACACAGCATTGAAAAGGTAATTCCATAAGGAATTTAGACATGTATGGCAGTGAGTGGAGAACAATTCGTTCATCTACTTTAAATAAATGTAGTTTGGAATGATCTTAGTTAAATTTATGCACAATTTTCCAATTTTCAAATTATGTGGTTTTTTCAATTTTTGTTCTTTTTTCGTGAATTGTTCACATTACCTTTCAAATAATATATGAATTGAAAAACGAAACAGTTGATTTTCCTGCAATAGAGCGCCAAAATGAAAAGTTGAGTAGCGAACACTCACATGTCTGACTTCCTTATGGAATTACCTTTTCAGTGCTGTGTCACACTTAGTACAAGGGGTGGGGAGAGAAGTATGACAGTTGAGGTAACGATAAGATTTGTCCCCCTTGGATTTAAAATTGACGTGTTTTTGCATTATGTTCACAACACATGTGTTTTGAAGAAATCGTTTTCGGTGCCGGGTTAAATCGAACCATAATTACAAATTTCGTCCGTCATTTTGGAGCCACCATCTTGATTTTTTGCATTGAAAAACAATTTATAATTTCCGACCCTGAAAACCACCACTTATCAATTTTGAATCAAATCGGACCATAATTGCAAATCTTGTCCGCCATTGTGAAGCCGCCATCTTGTTTTTCCCCTGGAAAAACTCCATAATGCATTGTCATCGAATTTAGGTCAAATTAGGTTGCGAATGAAGTATCATAATTTGGAATACGGAAGAGTTTTTTCCAAAAGAAGACGCCAAAATCGAAAGTTAAGTAGCTAAAATTGACATGGCTGAATTCCTTATGAAATTACCTTTTCAACGATGTGTCACACTTACTACTTTCCCTATTCAAATTGTTTGGGTGATAGTCACCGAGGGGTGGGGGAAGAGGTTATGAAAGGAAGATGTCCCCCTTGAATTACAAATCGACGTATTTTTGCATTTTTTTCAGAACACATGTGTTTTGAAGATATTCGATCAATTTCGTTTTCGGTGCTCCACCCTGCATTGAAACATACTTTTTGTGTTTCAATATTCAAATACATCCGAATTTTATTCAATGGTAGGTATCTCTTTTTCGCATTGTTCACCATCGCTATTGGAATCACTTAACTGGAAAAAGTCTGCGTTGTTATTACACTCTTTATTACTATTAGTTGTTATCCAAGGACGCCACATTTTAAACAGATAACAAGAATTTTAGGTAATTAAAACTACACCAAAATCGAATTTCAACACTCAAATCACACAGCACACAAAGTCGTAGGTTCAAATGAATGGCAAGCGTGAGGTGGTTTGTTATATCTGACCTTGTTATAATTGACCTTGATTGTTGAACATAATATTCGTATCACAAACACATTGAAAAGAAACTTTGGATTCAACTTTTATTCTGAAATTTTAACAAAACGTTCTTCATTGACATCAAAGTTTCGTGTTTACGGTGAGCAGTCAGTACGTCGATAACGATAAACAAGAATCCTACTATTCCTAATAAATTATTCAATCGACACTCCGAATCAGAAACTCACAACAACCTTGAAGATAATTTCAAATGATTATCATATCTGTTTCGATAGAGTTCAGGAATACTTGCTCTCAATCAGTTGAATCTTGCTAGCCAAAATGATGTTAGCAGTATGTTTTGCGTTAGTTGTAGGATTTATAGGCATATTATACATTGTGAATTATATTGTGGAGTTCAGCAGGTTCTTGAGACTCATGAGAAAGTTGCCAGGACCGAAACCACTTCCTGTATTCGGAAATCTTTTTGAATTAGTGTGTCACAAGGGTAAGTAACATATATGCATTAATGGAAAATATGGCAGTTCAAACGAATGTCATTATATCAGTTTTAAAGGTAGTTTCAATGGAGTAACCACAAAGGTTGAAGATAACACCAGATTATTTGTAAATGAAATCGAGCTCAATTTATTGAAATAATTTGATGAATGATTGAGATACCATTTTTGAGAAAATAAAGGGTGTTTCTGTGGGAAGGGTAGATTAAGTAATCTGTTCTTTTGACACT